ATATATTATGTATAATATATTTTTTTTGGCTTTTTTTCCGGGGTGTATTTTTTAGTTTGGGTTTTTTTCCGTGGGTTTTTTTTCCGCGATTACTTAGTAATAAATTTTGACTAGCTAGGTATCCTAAGTAGAGCTTAGWCTTCTGCTTAATTAATCGGTAAAAACTGAGAACTAATGTGTAAAATCGTGTATCTAAGTCCTAGGTTTAATCAGAATTCAGAGTATACTGCAATCACGTGCCCCTTCCATCTTTTTTTTMATTTTATTAAACTAGTTGATTTTTTATCACGGATATAGATACTATTATCTAATACCTATATCCACGTTTTTTATCTTAAATCTACAGTTAATTTTTGTTAAAAAAATAAAAATTTAACTTAATTCTTATTAAAATTTACTATTATTATAAATCTTTTATTTTTGATACTGATATGAATCAAACGGATAATATGGGTTACAGGGTTATAGCTGCTGTTTCAAAGAATGGAGGTATTGGCTACAAAGGTAATTTACCATGGAAACTTAAAAAGGAAATGGAATATTTCAATCGTATGACTACTCTGGTAAATCAAAAAGGCGTTMAAAATGCTGTTATTATGGGTCGCTGTACTTGGCAATCAATTCCAGATAAATATAGACCACTTAAAGGACGAATAAATGTAGTAATCTCCAAAACTTTAAACAGTGTTCCGGAAGGTGTTTTATTATATCCAAAAMTTGAAGAAGCTTTTAAATCATTATATTTAAATGATCATATTGAAAACCTTTGGGTAATTGGTGGTTCAGGTTTGTACAATGAAGCTGTAAAAGATAAAAATTGCAAAAAATTATTTATTACAAAAATTGATCAGGAATACTTGTGTGATACTTTCTTTCCTGATTTTGACCCTAAAGAATTTGAAGAATCAAATGAAGCTAATGTTCCTAAAGGAATTCAAGAAGAAAATGGTATTAAATATGAATTTAAAGTATTTAAGAGGTTGTGATGAAAAATATATAGGTATTTAAAGTTATTGATATATGAATAATAGCCTAAGGTATCTATGTAATTGTGAATATATAATTATATTATTCATAAATAAAATTAATATTTTATACTTTTTCTCCTGATAATGCTTATTTTGAGTTTTTAATTTTAGTCTAAAGGTTCCATCTTACTTATGTCCTGTCCTTTAGTAAAAGCTTAAGTAATGAGAGTGATTGGTTGTATAGCATCATTATTGTATATTTATATRTGATTATTAAAAGTGGCAGGGTGTGATTAACTCATTGTATAATTTTTCATTRCAACTAATTATAAAAKTAATGCTTTTGCATATCAAGTGTTTTCATTTAAATTGCACCCTTGCTCATATMACATAATAATGAATTGTAATTTAATATTGCTTGTACTGATATAATAAATTAATTTTAATATGTTACATATATCATTTAAGATAGGTATGAACAAAATACATTGGTTTTCTTAGATTAAATATTGTAAGTATTATCAATTAGTTTAAAAAATGAAATGATTTTACTAAAATCTTCTGCAAATATATTTTATAAAATGTTTGACTGGTATGAATTCATATACTATAGTTATATTGTAAAATATATTTTAACATTTATAACATATTTCAATATTCTGTAATATTGTCATTGTGGTTGAAGTATTGGTACAAAAAAAATATATGCAAGGGTACCMGCCGTTTWTCCCGAATCGAAATTCCCAAATGAATTTTTTCTTGAATAGTATTTTTCCCGAAAGTCCGAAAACCCGAAACCTGTTTTCCCGAAATAAAAAATTTAGTTATTACTGGTGTATTTTCTATGTATTTCTATCTATTTTGTACCTATATAAGATAAAGATACCATTTACGAAAAAGTACCGGTGTTTTACCTTTATTGCAATTTACCGTCGTTACAACGACATATGTATAATATACATGTACTATTACTATATTTGCCACACGAGCATTTAATTGATTTTTATTTTACACCTATATCATCGCGCGCTTGTGATATTATTGTTATGATTAGTATCGCTCGTATATCGTTGTAATTGTAATTGAAAAGTCCCGTTATTCGCGTACTATTAGTTGTGGTTATACTTTCGGTTTAATTTTCAGTGCGTTATATTGTATAAGCTTTTTTAAATTATTAAATATTAAACATTAGGCACACTACAGGATTTATTATATTATTATTTACTTTACCAATTCATTTTTATATTTTATACGTACTTATTATAATTTAATTATTTCAAAATATTTTATTACACTACAGCCTACAGGATTTATTATATTATTATTAATTTTACCAATTCATTTTTATATTTTATACGTATTATAATTTATCGATTTTAAAATATTATACATTAGGTACATTACAGGATTTATTATGTTATTATTAATTTTACTAATTCATTATTATATTTTATACGTATTATAATTTATATTCGGGAAAAATACCATTCGGGAATTTTGATTCGGGCAAAATCCGGTAACATACCTATGCAAGTCYTTATCATAATTTGGCACTTGGTTAGTAAATTTGAGTTTAAATGTCTATATTATATTATTATTTATTTATTTATTACTATGCTAAAAGGACCATTGGCGTTTCTTTGAGTAGATTTTTCGATGGTAGTGCTTTATTGGTATTTTGAACTTTGAAAACAACTCGTGTACGAAACAGACTGTGTACAACGACGTGTATATTATTTGTCCACGCTAATGTCTATTGTGGTATATAGAAGGAATAAACAAAATATGTCGAATCAAAGCGGATTTATAAATAAACATATATAAGACTATAAGAAGTATAAGAGATTAAGTTCTATGCTTATATCACAGAGTACTAAAGACCATATTTTTTTACATATATTTTTTTTTTTAAGACCAARTTATTCTATTCTGTGTAAAGACTAAACAGACCATAGACCTATTATACTATAGGTCTATGAAACAGACTAATATAMTATTACTATATTATGTCATTATGATAATGTATAATATCATATCAACAACGATAACAACAGTAAGTTGTAGTTCYGATGTTTTGAAATTGTGCTGCTCAACAGATATAGATAACAATCATAACCGTTTTTGTGTTGTTTAATGGTGGTGACGCTTAAAATTCCCGCTCGTCGATCGTGATACTGTGATAGACGATAGTGGAGTGCCGATTGCATTATTATTACAATTTTCATTTAATAATATTATTAAAATACTTAAAATTTAAACGTTATTGACTTCTTACTTTCTTAGTAAGTATTTATTTTTTATTAAAATCATATCGAAAAAGTGACAATTTAATGTTCCATAAAGAGTTTAGTGCTAAAATTATTCTTATAAATATAATTTAATGAATATCTAGTACGATGGATCATTAATAAACAGTTAATTAAAATAATACGTGTCAAAAAGATGTCCCTACAAACTGGTAAATAGTTTTTTTATTACCTAAATAATTCTAAGAATTGTATAAATTAATATAACAGTATATAATATTAGCTCAAAGTTTCACTAATCCTGTATAATGTATGTATGGCAAATATGTATCAAATCCTTGTTAACTTAAATGTAAAAAAAAAAATATTGATTATTGGTCTTATATCTAATTTATACTTAATAAATGATACCTAAACCTAAATGTTTAATTATTTGTTGAATATGTAAATAAACCAATTTTTATTAGTTTCTTCATATGTTGAGTTTTAAAATTGAAATGTAAACCACTGTGGTAGCTTTTTTACCAGGCATTTTAGAATTTTTTTGGTTTTTAGGCTTGTTTTTTTTACGTTTAATTTACTTTACCTAACAATTATTATTTTATTTTGTAATTTTACATTATTAATTATAATATGAGTATAATGACTGAATGGATACCGTTTTAATTTTTAACATTTAAACAAATTTTTGTTTTGCTTTACATAATACTTACAGATAGTATGTAATTAGTTTAAATTTTCAAAAATTATTTTAATATTATAATTTTTTTTTCAGAAGATCGAGTGTTGATTGATGTGAGTGATGTAGTTGACATATTGGCTCGTCTTCAATTAGGTGTCATATCTCAAGACTATGTAGACCGAGTTATGAGTAGCAATTACAGTTACTACAAATTTCCAGAATCGTATGAATCAATTGTTATGCCAGATATTGATTTCCCATCAATTATAAATGATTCTTGTGAGTTATTAAACATTTACTTACAACAACCATCAGCACATATACTATGGGATCAGTTTTTTAGTGATGATTCGTGCTATGTACATCCTAAACCATTGAGTTGTTTGTTGAATTGTTACATTCATTATGGACTAAAATGTATGGATGAACCTAGTGCCAGAAAAAATGGATTATCTGCTACACGTTTATTTCTTTTGGCTTCTACATTTATGGGTAGTAAAAATATTGGATTTTATCATATCAGCATACTCACTAAATGTACGGAGTTAGTTAAGTCATGTATTGCCATGTTACATTTTACGGGGGGTGTAAATAGTGGCGATGATATACAATTGGAAGAAGATGAAAAAATGGATTTAATGGCTGATTTATTGGCTATTGTAAGAACTATAGGAATAATGGTCAAACGATTTCAATTCTTTGATGAGATTAGTTCTTTAGAYATGATTGCAGATATAATGATAGATGTGACCCATTTAGAACGTAATAACGGAAATATATTAGAACAAGTGCCTACTGACAACTTAAGTTATGGCATATTAGCATTCAATGCATATTCAGGTTTGACAGATATGTTTAATGATAACTGTGGATCAACACTCGTTATAGGTCAAAAACTTATGCATTGTATGATATTAGGTTTATTAGTTGACGGACAGCGAGAAATGCAATTGACTACTAGGCAATTTAATTCAATTCGTGACCATCATTTATCATTTATTCGTAAACTAACTAAAAAATTGGGATCTTCATTTGAGCGTGTATTAGAAATACTATTGCAACATTTATTACATAGAGGACCTGAACGAAGTGAACTAAGACCCCGTCAATTTCAAATTATATTAGAAGTTTGGAGATTGTGCCCGAATAATGTTCGAATTAAAATAAAATATTATTTGTTACGTTTGGTATATGATGTAGATGTTAAAATACGCATCGTTGCATTGGAGACTCTCTTTAAATTACTTTCAGAACCTGAAGAAACTGAACCTGAGGATCCAACTCTACTACAACTTATGCCAGCAACTAAACATGAATTTATTGTGGCTGTTATTCTTTCTAAATTTCAAGATTTATTATTAACAGTTCGTTCTAAAGCGTTCTCATTATTTGCAACTTTAACAGCTGGTCCTGCTACTGCACATCATACGGCCTTAGTTAAACGTGTGCTTGTTGATCCTTACCTACAAGTTGATAATATAAATCAAACATCATTCTGCAAAAAAGATTTCCATGAATTTTATCAATATTTGGAAAGTGATATGACCAATTTTGATCCAAATAATATTAGCAATTTAAACATTTACCCCGGGGCCAAAATATTACTGTGGATCTTAAATGTACATGCTCGCGACGAACGAGCTTATATTCGTCGTATAAGTCTTACAATTTTGTGTAATTTATTTCTTATAAATAATAAGTTAATGGAAAAATATTATTTAACATTATTCGTGAGTAGTTGTTCAGATAATGCAATGACCATCAGAAAAGTGGCAGTTTCTGGGCTAACTGATTTGCTTTTAAAATATCCAGATAATCAAGATGTGCTTAAGTATTGGTTTAAAGGATTAATTCATTTAGTTGGCGATCGAGACAAAAAAATTCAAGAACTGGCTGTTGAATGTATGAGTCGAGTTATTTTAAACAATATCAAACCATATTCGCCCAAAATAATTGATAGTAATGATCCATTAGATTATTTACCTTGGCGTGTATTAGACAATGTTTTAAATGAAAAAGTAGGCAAGTACATGATGTGTTTGTGTGAAAAGTGGCGCATTAATGGATTCCTTACTGATCGTAACATTAAAGACATAATGACATATGTGGGTTCTTCAAATCATGAATGGACTGTACACAGCTTATATTTATTACAATTAATATCACATCAATTAACAATCTCAAATATATCACCTCTTATTAAATATTTTGATACACAATTTGATTTATGGTTTGTTAGAGAAGAAAATCCTCCAGAATTGAACATCTTGCTAACACATGCACAAATGACTATTGATATCTTATTTTTAAATTACAAACGCTTGGACAAAGAAACAAGACAAAGACTGTTGAACACATTTGAAGATCTTTTGTTTAGTTTTAAAATACCAACTCGTCTTATATCCAAATCTTTGGATTTATACACAGTGTTACAATTAGACGATTCTGA